ATAAATAAAATAATTAAAGTATTATTATAATATAATAAGATATAGTTGAATTTGAACTATTATATAACTAGTTTTTTTTTAGGTTAAATCCCTATGTAGGCAAAAGTGCCAAATAAACCCCTAGAGTTTTCATTTTGATGCAAATCCACCCTAAAACGTTTTGAGGCTTGTCATACCTCAAACTTGTAGAATCAAATATAAGAGTTAGTCTAGTCATCATTCAAAATTTTTTTTTAGAGAACCTATCTAAAAAATCACTTTTAAATTAATATTTAAAAAACAAACGATTGAATTGAAGGTTCATTTATGTAAATCATCTATGATAATTTTTATAATGATCTAACAATTATAATTGTTTAATAAAAAAACCTTATTTACGAACATATATTTAATAGTGTTAAATTTTGTGTAATCAACGAACTAGTTAGGTCTACTAAATTAATTTAAAAATTAACATGCATATATAAATAAAATTTTCAATCCAATAGTTAATTTTTTAAAATATTAATTAAAAATAAGTTTTTAAATAAAATTTCCAAAAAAACTTAGGAGTATAATCTACAAAATACTTTTCCCATCAAATATAACTACCTTTTTTATGGTGTTGTATTTTCCTAGTAAACCTCCTCAAACCCCTAGATTTATTCCAAACTAATAAATGAGCCTCTAAATTAAAAATAATGCAAATAAACCCTTAAACCTCTCATATGATGCAAATCAACCCTTATTATTAACAGTCCAACTCTTGTGACCTCACATCTTTGTTCTTTTCCTTCACTTGGTCTCTCTTTTTCATGTAGATGCTAACATGGATCTAAGGACTAAAAATTTTGGCTAAATGACCCGTGTGATCCTTTTTTTATTTTTTATTTGATATTTCTAAGGACACAATTTAAGGATATAATTATTACACATTTTTTATATTAATTAGTATTCTAAAAAAAAGTCGATTTTTATTTAAGCAATTGTTCAATTGAAATGATTCACATAGCACTATGATGAAATTAATAACAGTTTTTGTATTTTTTAGTACTAATTTCTATGAAACAAGTGCAATAATTTATGTAATAATTGTACTTGGCCGTGTGGGCCAACTGGTTAATAACCAGTTTTAAAGGTGCACTTCTACCTACATGATATTGGTTCAAATCTCCCTTCCCCTAAAATTTGAACCAGTTCAAAAAAATTGTACCCTCAAGGATATAAGTTTAAAAAAAATCCTTTTTTTATTTAGTATTTTCAATTTATGCGAATTATTTTAGTGAGATTTTTATCACTCAATGGGTTCTTTAATTTGTGTTAGTATCTATATGAAAGTGATGGAAATTAACAGATAGCGTGTGGTAACATGCATTGAGCCGTTAATTATGAGAGTTGATTTGCATATTTTGAGAGGTTTGAATGCTAATTTGCAGCATTTGAGAGGTTTAAGAGCTTTTTTTCGCATAATTTTTAGTTTAAGAGCTCACAAGTCAATTTGGGATAAGTCTATGGGTTTAAGTTTAAGAGGACATTTTGCCTATTTCCTATGTTTGGTCAATTAATTACGTCAAGTTGGCATACCACGTGGTTTCCCTTATCAGTTAGTAATTAATGAATTAACTTAGTCTTCCACTTCAAAATTATCAGAAGACTTAATAGTTTTTGAGTTAAAATTTATTTATTCATAATATTTATATAAAATTTTAATTATTTAATTTTTTATTATATTTATTAAAAATAATTATATTTTTATTTAAAAAACAATAAAAAAATTTTAACATTAAAAATAAAAAATAAATGATTAAAATTTTATAAAAATATAGTATATAAAATTTATATATAAATATATCTCTATTCATAATTTTATATAAAAATAAACTTAATAATTAGATAGATTAATACCACTAAAAATCCTCCAACATTATAAAAAAGAGTCATTATCATTCTTCAACTTAAAAAAAGTTCACAAAATTTCCTGAACTTTAGAGAAACGATTAGTGCCATCCCTGTTATAACATCCTCGATTTATCCGTAAAATCCTCTGAATTTTAATAATAAAATAACATTGTTAGTCCCTCACCTTTAAGTTTCGATGTACTTTGATTCTCAAACTTCAACTTTATTTATATGGTCCCTGATTTTAACTTTTCTTATTGTAATTTAGTCCTAAATTTTTTAGAGAGTTTTACTCATGCATTCTAATTTTTTTTTGTACAAATAATAAAAACCATGAAAATCCAATAAAATCACTTTTAATTCATCTAAAATATCAATAAAATTAAAGTTAAAAGAATAAACTAAAAGATATAAAATTTATCTAATTAAAGTGAAAAATCACATTTTTAATCTCAACTACAGATCTCTAAAAATAAGAAAGAGAAATTTAGCTGATTGCATATACATAACTTATATATATATAAAAAAAAAAGAACAACATTATGATAAAAAAGGGGGTAAATAAGAGATGCTTGCCTTTTTTTATTTGTTATACACTCATAGTCATAGAAACATTACTTAAAGTTATCATTAGTCCATGATATTTGCATGACTACATTTACACTATACTCACAAGTCATATCCACATCTTCCACAGCTCCACCACTTTAGTTGTATCACTTTATAAGATTTCAAATTGGGTATCAAAATTATTTTTGATACAAGTGAATATTAAAAACTTGATTTTTACACTTTGATGATATGAATTTTATATATTTTAGAACTAAAATATAATTAAAATGTTAAGTTAGAGATCACATTGAATAAATTTAAAGTTTGGGAATTAAAGTGTGTAAGAATTGAAAGTTAAGGGACAAGGTGTATAATTTTCCCTTTAAAATTTAGAAAATTATAAGGTAATTGGACGGCGTTATGCAGTCCGTCAATGGCGGGATGCTATTTGACCCTTTCTCTAAAGTGTAGGGATATTAATGACTTGTTTTAAAGTACAAAGATGACAATAACTCTTTTTATAAAGTTAAAGGATTTTTAACGACATTAAACCTAATTAAACTAAACCGAATTCAAAGAGATGTTTCACCTTCTTCATCTTTTGCCTCTCCACTTTTTCATGCATTTACACACTCAATTATAAAGGTAATTAATTTCTCCACTCTTCTACATATCTAATGGTGAATTATTTTTGTTTAATGATAATTAACTATTATATTTATTACTGTTATAGTTCCTACAACTTTTACCACTCTAGTAGGCTAGTAGCCTTGTGTTGTAACTCTTTTGACTAGATTTCCCATGTATTTAATTGTGAATTTTTTTTATATTGAATGATGGATTATATAACAATAATAGTCTTTCTTTTTTCAAATCTCAACTAATTTATCTTAAAATTTAAACTTGTGATCACCAACATGAAGACTTAAGTTCTTAACCTTACCTACATAAAAATATATGATATTGTAAAACAAAATCTAAAACCATGTAATATCAATTTAATGATATAAAATCTCAAGACTTGATTTTCTTGTAATATTAACTTTCTCCTTATCACTTCCCCGTTGTTTTCCAAAAGCTCCTATAATACTTAAGGCCTTATAGCTTGTTTGGTGAAGTTTCTTGAAACTTTTACTTTATTAGTACTATTTATGAGTTCTAAGTTTAAATTTTTATTGAAAAGAAAATTTAAAAGTTATTTTTAAAAAAAATAAGATGTGAGTAAAAAATGAGTAAAAAAGAAGTTAATAAAAAGTCAAAGTTGAAAACTTTTCAAAATTCACTGTTTAAAATCATTTTAAAATTAAAAAAAAGTTAAAAAATATAAGTTTTTAAAAGATAAATTTAAATTTATGTAACATGTATAGTATAAAAAAGTTGAAACATTTACAAACTTCACCACACATGTTTTTAATCTTAAATCTATTCATAGAATTTTAAGAAAACCTTACTAGAAAAGAAGTAAAACCCTTGTTATAAAAATAAATAAAATTGCTAAAAACTGCTTATGGTATGGACACCACAAATATGTATAGACATTTTTGCTTCCAATTTCACAGGATACATAATTTCCGAAGTTTTAATGCATAGTTTTTACACTTAAAAAATTTGTATCGATACCTAACCCGAATCAGGTTTTATGTGTCTTTTAGCCATTTCTTTAAGGGGAGTGTTTGGTTGCCAAGTGACTTTTTCCCTTTAATTTTTATAAATTTTTTTTTATAAAGTTATTTATATATTTTTACATATTAATATTACAACAAACAAAATGTAAAAGTGGTGTTTTTAATCTTTATTTTTCTTAACACAATTCCCAATTTGTAAACTTTGTCTTCTTACTTTTTTTTTAAAAAAAAAGTTTCTCTCAATTTTCTCTATTTAGGACTCACTTTACAACATTCCAACCAACTTTCCTTATGCTAATGTTTTACCAACTTTCTCTATCTAGGACATATTTTACAACATTTCTACCAACTTTCCTTATACTAATGTTTACAAACAAGTTAACAATCTAATAAAATTCCACTAGGAAACTATTATCTCCAAAATCTCTCTTTCCGACTACATAGCAAATAAATATTGCGAACGTATGTCACTTATTTTTCTCTAAGTTAGAAAGAAAAATTCCCAGCAACCCTTGCTACTTCCAAGCATGGAACCTAGCTACAAGTTAATCCAAGAGCATCGGTTACATAAATTTTGAGATATGTCATGATCAATCGATTGTCACAAAAATGAGAATGCTTTTTTGCATAAAGATTCATAAATAATTGCCATAAAAGAACATCAAAGACTTTCCATGATTGGTGCAAAATGTTAGTTTGTTGATCAAAATAAAAGAGAAAAATAGAGGAAGAGAGAAGAAAGATAGGGCATAGTTGGAAGACTAAATTATAAGGAGGCTGCATGATGACATCGTGAAAGCATGAAAGTATAAAAAATGAAATAAAGGCTCTACAATCAAGGAAGCATAAAACTAAACTTAAAAAAAATTAGGAAAATGAATTTATAGCAAAGTGCAGTAAATTGAATTGCAGAAAATCATATACATCAATGGTGGTGTTCAAATCAAAATCAAAATAAACAATAACTAGGGTGTGAAGCTAATAATAGCCTAGAACTAAGGACTAAATTAAAAAAGTTGTTTGAGAAAGCATAACCTAAACTAAAACATCGACTGTAAGAGCTTTGTGAAATTGAAATGTAAATAGCACTGGACTTGTTGCATAAGAGGATGGTATGTCTTGCTTTACTTCATTTCCATGTATTTATAGTGTAAAATGTCCATGGTAGCATGCTGAGAAACTGTGGCAACATGAAATTCGCAACAAAGAAATTATTTTGTTGATTATGTGGCAACTGTCCAGGCTGGAGAAAAATTTGTCGTTGAAGTTAATTTGGTTAATGAGATCACTATATGACAGTTACTAGCAACACCATGCATACGCATTTTGACCTCTTCAAATCTTACTCTGTTGTAACTTCAAAACAGATAGGACACGTAATGCCTTCTAATTGATTTGCAAAAATGGGTATAAACAAAAACTTATCGACATCAACGAGGGGTTGGATCAAGTGGCAAGCAGCTTGTTCCAGCTTAAGTAAGGTTTTGAGTTCGAAACCTTGTGTACGCAGCAGCTTTCGTTGGGTGATCCACCCACCATTCTGGTGCGCCATAACTAGTCGAGTCCAGAGTAGTTGAGACGAAGCCTCGGATACCGGCCGAGAAACCAAAAACCCAAAAAAATAAAAAAAACTTATCGACTTTCTTTGCATCTCTTTTCTAATAATTTTTCTAATTTAAATCTTCGATTGCAACTTTTCTTCTTGCAATATAATCCCTGAACTTTCAAAAGATTTTAACTTTAATTCCAAAACTCATAGTATTATAGATTCAAGTCTTTTCCTGCACAAATAAAAACTACCATGTAAAATCTACATAAAATTCACATTCCACCCGTCCAAATAGCAATAAAATCAGGTATCTAATCAGTGATGGAGATTGATGTTTGACTGAAGAAATATTTTGAAGAAAAACAAGATGATCTTAATATTCTAGAAAATTTGTGAAGGAAAAAGAACTACAGCAAAATTAAGAATTTGTAGTTGTAACCTTCAAAATTTTTCGGGAAATTTGGTCCGTACATCGTGTGGTTGAGGGATTTTTTTTTTTTTTTTAAAAGAGTGCAAGTTTCAATAATGCCATATTGAATACCATTGAATATGCAGGCAATAAAGTTTTTGGTTTCTTCTACGACAAGAAATCCTTTTACTCAGAAAAGATTTCCATCCTGCAGTAAGGGCAATGAGCATTGGTCTCTAACCATGGGACCAAGCACCTGGAATGGAACCTGTGTGCGCATGGTAGGTGAACTAGGGTCTCGCCGACCTTGAACCGGTCCAAGCAAACGACACACTCGTCTTGATCCGAGGCCTTCCAGCCCAACTTGGCCCAACTAAACATCTTTGAACCGTTCTTCTTCCTAGATCCAAACACCTCCGTTTGTAGCTCTGATAGAGCCATGGATCTCCCATCCGAATACTGAAAGATTTCTCTGCTTTCATGCCTAATTTCAATGCACAAAAACAACAAAATTGGGTTCAAAAGGGGGAATAAAATACTTAGTCTACCTAGAGCGCCGGATGCAAGGATTTTAATCACCTTTTGGATTCTGACTTTCTTGTTCCTAATCTCTCATCCAGTCTCTCTTTAGCCTCTCTTGCTGCACCTCCAAGTTTCTCATCTTGATAGCCCTGATTCAATATGTTTCGATGCTGGAATTTTTGGAATGCATAAATAAAAGGAAAATATAAGTAATCCGTCCTGTGTTTCGCAAAATTCCACATGGATTAATCAATCAAGGAACAAATTTATGAACGATTTACCCAATAATTGTCAAATCGGAGGCTGTTTCTACAAATAAATAAAATAAATAAATCTGGCACCACACCTGTGTAGATATAGTAGTATGGTGGATTTCAGATTTGCTTGTATACAAGCAGAAAGATGATCTCCGTGTCCGGCCATGGAGTACGAGACTAGGAGAATCAGAACCTCCGCAGCTTTGATGGAAGCGTCTCCTTCTAGCGCATTCAACGCCAGGAAGCATGCCAGCCATCGATTTGGGTGTCTGTTGGGGATTGGGGAGAAGAAGGGAATTATCTAAGAAGAACGGATTTAGGGAAAGTGATTGAATCTGAAAATTAGAAGAGATACCCAACGCAATAAAGAAAAGTGGGGAGACAAAAACAGGTCATATGATCGTTACTCCACAGTTTCCGTCAAAATAGGTTATTGTTTATGGGGGAAGGAATAAGGAAGGGAGGAGGAAATTTCGAGGCAAGTCAGTTTAATTTTAAGGTCAATATGTGTCCCTATAATTTCAGTTCTGGACCAAAATAATACTTAAACATTAAAAAACACCAAAATGATCCTCAAACTTGAGTTTTCTTCTACCATTTTGATACTTTCATCAATTAAATGCTAACATATACTATTAGGGTAGAAAATATAATCAGTTTCCTTTAATTCCAAATATTACATGGAAATTCTTAAGTCTTATTTGACAATTAAATTTGATGTGGAAAAGAAAAGTTTGAAGGTGATGTGGATAATTAAACCATTTTAAAAAATTGGATATGCTAATTAAATTATATTAAGTACATTATTATGCGTTAATTAATTTTTTTAAAAAAAATTAACTTTGATACTTCATCCATTTTTTTTATTTGAATGAACTTTTTTATTTGATTATATAAATGAATTTTTATAATATTTGATGAAAATATAATCTCTAATTGTATTGATATTGATATCTGTGACAAAGTACAATTGTGTATTACTAAACATTTTTTTATCTTGTATATTAATAAACTTGATTAACAGCAAGTAAAGAAATAACAATCAAATATCATCAATTAAACTTTTCAACAAAAATAAGAGTGGTGTTATAGAGATAATTTTTTTATACCATTTTTTCATACAACTTCTACATATTATTAAATGAGTAGATGTATTTAATATCATGGATCCCACATAAATTAAAAAAATTAATTATTTTAATGACACGTTAAGTTACACAAAAAAAAAATTTATACAAAAATCATTTGCCCAAAAATAAACCGGTCTTCTATTTCTTTCACTTTCCTCATCTTCTTTCTCTCTCCTCTAATTAAAACCCAAAAATCTTAAAAAAAAAAAAAAACCATCATTGCTTTTACAAACCCGAACAACAAATCTATAATTCAACAAAGAGGAAAATAGTAATGAAATTGAACAAAGAAAGAAAAATCAAAGGCAAAACAACAAATAAATAGAATAAAATAAAAACACCAAATTGTTATTTGAGAAAAATCCAAGAACACCTTCTATTAAAGAAACAAAAAAAATCTACAGATAAGAAAAGACATGAATGTCAACTCAAATACCATCGAACATCGTATACATCCTTCAAATTGGAATAAAAGACCATAATCATCAAAATCAAAAAGCATAATCAATCAACATGCAAAATAATTGATTAAGCTTGTAATTATATTATATTTTTAATCTATGTGCAATATCTAGAATTGAAGAAAAGAGAAAATTTTAAAAGTCAACAGTTCATGTCATTATTTAAGTGACAACAGAACCAAAATGGTATTGGAAAATTCAAGTTCAAGGATTATGTTGATATTTTTAAAGTTTAAGGACTATTTTAGTTTAAAATTGAAAGTTTGAAGACCAGTGATTTAACCTAACTCTGACCACACATAGGAGATGGCGAGCCGCGTGAATCACCAAACTATTGTGGATGTGGTGGTGGGTAACTTTCTTTTTCTTTTTTTTTTTAATTTTTATCGTTTTAGATTTATTAGTGAAAGTTCTGCTGTACTTTCCCTTAGTCAACTCAAAAAATGTCGGACTTTTATGACCATCACACTAGATCGTATTTTTATTTTTGAAAATATATAATATTTTATTAAAATGCCAGGATATAGACCGTGTTTGGCCATTTCTATTCGATACACTTCCCTCGCTTGCAAACTCAAGCTTCTCCTCCTTTGCCCAACTTTGTTTGTGAAGGAGGTGAAGCCTCGGCCTAAAATCTATAGCGACTACCTTACCTTTTTTTTTTGAAAAAAAAAGGAGGTTGGCTCGTAATTTTGCTTCTAAAGTTTAGGGGATGCTTTTAAAATTTTTCCATTCACTCTCTTTCATATAGAAAGTTTTTGGGTAATTGTATTAATCTATCAATGAAACAATTTAAAAGCTTATTTAAGTTAGTTTTTTGTATTGACTATAATAACATCATATATTACAGGTTTTTTTATATTAAAAAAAAATATATTTTATTGAAAGATCAGGAAATATAATGTTTGTCAATTTTAGAATCCATTTGGTACAAAAAAATCATTTTAGGAAAATATTTTCCGTATTTTTTGTATTTAGAAGACAATTAAAAAAGAAGTCAACGAAAAAAAATTTAAATCAACAAAAAAGCTTTTCGTTTTCTGAAAAATCACTTCCACATTAATTTTTGGGAAGTTGTTTTCCGCTCTCAAAATCATGCGGACTCTACGCCGACCTCACACGGTTTATTAGAGCAACTGATGTCGCTACTGGTGTTTCTTCTTCAGATGTCTTTCTCATAAAAAAAAAAAAAAATTAGAGTTTCAGTTCGTCGACCCTGAGAGTGGGACAGTTCGTTGAACCATGCCCAAGAAACTCACTCCTTCTTATGTGATTTTGTCTACGTAAGTCATAAATTTTGCTTGATTTGGAGAATGTAGGCATAAACCAAACCATATCGAACCAGTAGAACCACCAAGAAGTCAAGAACAAAGTGCCAAGCATAGAGATCAACAAAAAATCTTAGTCGGGCCCTTTTCGAGAAGGAAGAACGCGTCGGTGGATGAATGGCCAGAAAACACCTTTATTTTAGAAAAGATGCCTAGGTGAAAAAGCAACCTAAATTAGTGTTCTGAAAACCGACTTGAAGATCAATTCGTTTCGACTTTTGGGTCTCGGTTTAATCGGTTTAATTAGAAAATCATTAGTTCAATGAAATATCCATAAATATATCTTGTGCAGCAGTTTGCAATAACCTTACCATCGTTCCATAGGTCTGCAGTTTTGTCCCTCACAACGAGGGTGGAGGTCCGAGCCCAGGTGATCTCAAAAATTAATTAAAATGTCTCTAACCTCCCATCCATAATATATTAATAGATTTTTATTAAATATATAATAAATGTAATTTTTATAATTAATTTATATAAAAAAATTGTAAAAAGTGATTTTAAATTAATTAATTAAATAAAATCATTTACATAAATGTCAATTTTTATAATTGTTTAATAAATTAATTATAAATAAATGTTAAAAATTTATATTATTGTATTTATATTATTATATTT